GTTGACCCAATAGGCCTATGTGGAGGTCTTGTTTTGATGTGGGATACTCACATAGTTATTAGTCAAATTATATGTGAAAATTATTTTATTGCTGTTGAATTCCAGCTGCACCCCCACCCCCTTCAATGGGGAATTTTTGTCTATCTTAGTCCCTTCAAAGTTATCAGAGAAACTCAGAGGGAAGAATTGTTGGCAGCTAAACAAAAATGGGGATCTCTTTGGTTCTCCATTGGAGACTGGAATGACATCCTCTCAAACTCAGAGAAATCAGGTGGAACCAACAGACCAACCCTTAGCCTTTTGGGTTTTAACTCTTTTGTATCCGAAATGGACATGCTGGAAGTTCAATCAAATGGCTATGCTTTTACTTGGAGTAATAACAGAGCTCCTCCTGCTCTGGTTGAAGAAAAGCTGGACAGAGCCTTTGGTTCTCTTGACTGCTCTCACTCTTACCCCAATGCAGCTGTATCCAATACTCCCAGAAGTTCTTCTGACCATACTGCTCTGCTCTTGAACTTGGGACTTCCTCAAATGAAAAGAAAGGCCCCCTTTCACTTTGACAAAATATGGTTAAGCATGGATGGCTTCAATGATATAGTTACTGCTGCTTGGAAGTCCCCAGTCACTGGTACCCCTTTTTTTCAGCTTAAGGAGAGGGTCAAGAATACCAGGATTGCTATCCTCATCTGGAGTTCTTCTTTTCAATCCACAAGGCAGAAAGAAATATCTGAACTTACTCAGAGAATGGAAGATCTCAATACTTATGACAAGGGAACAAACTGGGAAATCTGGGAAGAGACAAAAAGAAAGCTAAACAAGGCACACTCTCTGGAGGAACTCCACTGGCAGCAAAAAGCTAAGTACAGATGGTTAAAAGAAGGGGATGCCAACACCAAATTCTTTCATGCCTATACTCTCCAAAGAAGAAAACTCAATGCAATAACCAGGCTCATTTCAAACCAAGGCAGAGTCCACTTTTCTCAAGCTGAGATTGAATCCCATATCTCTGAATTCTACACTAATCTCTTCTCTACTGAGGGTAGTTGGGGTGGGGAATCCATTCTCCACCTAATTCCAGAGACCATAACTCAAGACATGAACACTGCCCTCCTCAAACCTGTTGATGAAGATGAAGTCAAACAATCTTTGTTCAGTTTTCAGCCTGATAAATCACCTGGTGAAGATGGAATGACAACTGCCTTTTATCAACATTTCTGGAGCTTAATCAAATCTGATCTTATGAAGGCAGTCCACAGTTTCTTCCAATCAGGTACTATCCTCAAATATTGGAATCACACTGTCTTATCCTTTATTCCCAAATGTCACCACCCAGATAATTTGAGTCAATTCAGACCAATAAGCCTTTGTATGTAGTCTACAAGCTCATATCCAAAATGTTAGCTCAGAGACTCAAGGCCTACTTGCCACATTGCATCAGTGAGCATCAGGCTGCTTTTCTTGAGGGTAGACATATTACTGACAATGTGATAATTGCCCAAGAAGCTTTCCACTTCCTGAACAGGCACTCCTCTGGTCCTAACTCTTTCATGGCCCTCAAGTTAGATCTTATTAAAGCTTTTGACCGAGTTGAATGGCTCTGCTTAAAGAAAATTATGCTTCAAATGGGATTCCATAGTGATTTTGTGAAGCTTGTTATGATTTGTGTTACTTCTGCCTCCTTTTCCTTCAAGATTAATGGAAGCATCAGTGGTTATGTTTTACCTTCTAGGGGAATTAGGCAGGGGGATCTTCTATCCCCCTACCTCTTTCTTATTGTCACTGAATTGCTTACTGCTCTCATTCACAACTCAATCTCTTCTGGCATGCTTAAAGGAATGAAACTTTCCAGAAATGGCCCTGTGCTGTCTCACATTCTCTTTGCAGATGACTCTCTGTTTTTCCTTAAAGCTGGGGTTGACCAAGCTGGGTTTCTCATGAACATTCTAGAGCAGTACAAACTCTTCTCTGGTCAAGCTATTAATCTCCAAAAATCTGCTGTATTTTTCAGTAGAAATACACCCCTCCACCTTCAAAGATCAATCTGCAGCTCTCTGAACAATATTACTTCTCACAGGTCAACTAAATACTTGGGATTGCCACTGGGGATTGACAGATCCAAAAAGGAAGTTTTTGCTTACTTAGTGAATTCAGTCAAAGCTAAGCTCACATCTTGGAAATCTCAGCTTCTTAGCCCTGCTGGAAAGGAAGTCCTTCTCAAAGCTATTATCCAAGCTCTTCCAGTCTACACAATGGCTTGTTTCACTCTGCCAGTGTCAATCTGCTCTGAAATTACAAGTTTATGTGCAAAATTTTGGTGGAAATCTGGAACTGATCAGGCTAAAGGAATCCATTGGAGAAATTGGAATTTCCTCTCCCTCCCTAAAGAGAATGGTGGTCTATCCTTCCTTGACCTCTAGCTTTTCAATAAAGCAATGATCTGTAAACAGCTGTGGAGGATTGCCTCAAATCCAGAGCTTCTAGTAAGCAGAATCCTCAAGGACAGGTACTACCCTAACTCTTCTCTGGTTAATGCCTCTAGAAATCCCAGTGGATCATGGATGTGGAACTGCTGGATGCACAATATACCCTTCTTTGCTAAATGGTTAAAAATTGAAATCAGAAATGGCAAGAACACCAGAATATCTGATCTGAACTGGATTCCTAATCATAGTAGACCCAGCCCCTCTCTCATTCCTATTGCTAGAGATCACTTGATCTGGGTTAAAGACTTACTGAATGATGAAGGCACTCAATGGAATAACTGGTTAGTGAGGCAAGTTTTTGATGAAGTTGATAGCAATGCAATCCTGAGCATATCCTCTCTATCCCAGAGCAGAAATGATAGATTATATTAGGGTTTGAATACAAAGGGTTGCTTTTCTGTTTCCCAGACTTACTCACACCTCATGTCTCTCAAGATCCAGAATTTGGACATCCCAGAATGCAGCTCTTCTGCTATCACCAAAAAATCCATCTCATTCAGACATTGGAAGTTGAAGATTGCAGGCAAGGTCAAGCACTTTATTTGGAAATGCATCTCTGGATCCCTGCCTGTAGCTACTAATCTGAACAGGAGAGGCATTGACTTGGACACCACTTGTTCCATCTGTGGTAAGCTGCTGAATCCTTGGAACACTTGTTTTTCACTTGTAGCAGATCCATCAATTGCTGGAAGCTTAGTCCTCTCCAATGGGATGGCCTGTTTTGCTGCACTGACTCCTTTAAGACATGGTGGTATCACATTTGCTCACTGGATAAATCTGAAGTTGCTGAAGCTCGAATCCAACTCACCACTTACATGCTTTGGTGGCTTTGGAAATCCAGGAACTTGTGGCTTTTTCAAAGAACTCTCATCCCAGAGCCCATCCTAGTTAAGTTGGCCCTCACTGATTGGATGGAGTTCTCTGCAGCTGCTTCTTCTTTGGCAGTTTAGTTTTTTCCTTGTTTGTCATTTTGGTTTGTTTCCTTTCCCTTTTGTTTTCCCTTGCTAGGCTCTTGGAGCAGTGGCAGGTGTTTGGTTTTAGTGATGATTGTTGTTGTTGGTTTGGCTTTGTAGTTTTCTTTCTTTGTGTTGAGGTTCTAGACCGCTTATGGCGTGTCTCTCATTTTTAGTTTTCGGTTTGATGTGTTGTAATTCGAACTTTGTTCGCCCTTTTGAGTTTAATATAGTTGTTCCTGTCGTTTCGGAAAAAAAAAAGAATAATAAAATTTAATTTATAGTATATCTCATCGGGTATTATGGCTAGTTTGGGGGTGGAGAAAGGGATCCGACCAATTTGGTTCTTCTCGGCCTGTTTTCAGAGTGATGGAGTGGTGGCCGTCGGCGTTGTAAGGCTGGTGTTGCGTGTTGGCGGAGTGGTCGCCGACGATTACAGGGTCGATGCTGTGATTTGGAGGTGTGGTTGTTAGCAATTGATGGGCTGACGGGCTGAGCTGCTCTGCTCGAGACTCAGGGTAGTCGACAATTGCAGGGATGGGGCTGAGCGTAAAAGGTGTGGTCGTCGGCGATCATAGGGTCGAGGTTGTGTTTTGGAGGTGTGGTTGTCGGCGATTGACGAGCTGAGCTGCTCTGCTTGTGGTTCGGAGTCGTCGCAATCGTCGGGCCAAGGTTGATTGATTGGCTGGGTACATTTTTCTCTGGATGGCAGTGTGTTTGTTCGCCTGGACGAGGGTTGGCCAACCTGTGGGTCTTCAATTGTGCTCGGTGTGGCTTTCTGCTGTGGGAAGGGCTCTCATTGTTGTTTTGTTTTGTCTAGTTTCGTTTGTTTAGTGGGTGTTTGTTATGTGCTGTCTAGTTTCGTTTGTTTTGCCTCTTGTTTTGTATTTTTGGTTTGGGTCGTTGGTCTCTGTACGCTCGAGTGTCACCTTATTATCCTGTTGAGGTCCGATACTCGGGTATTACTTTGTTGGGGTCTTGTAGTTGTTTTAGTTGTTGGTTAGTTCAGTAGCGTGTGTTTTTTATTCTAGCGTTGCTAGCCGGGATTTCAGGCGGCCTTTCGACATGTCCTCCCTCTTTTTAGCTGTTGGTTATTGTGTATTCAGCGGTTTACTGCTGTGTACTTGAATATTTGTGCATTTAGATTTAAAAAATTATATATTGTTTCCGAAAAAAAAAATGAAGCTAAAATGATAAATGTGACAATGTTTCAATATCCTGCACAGTCCACCAACCGCGCTTTCTCATCAGACATTAAAATCGCTGATACAACGATCCGTCTTCAATTTCCCAACTCCCGTCAAGTCACGTCAATCTTACAAAGCCCCAGCTTTTCACTGTCGCTTGGCCTTTCTATTCCATTCAGTTCCATTCATTCACAAAATTAACGGTTGCAAAAGGGAAAGTTCGGAGCTAACCCTAACCCCGAGTCGCCGGTTGCCGTCTGAGGTGAGCTTTTTTCACTCGTTTTCAGTCGTCGTAGTGTCCCTGTTTGTGTGGATTATCGATGTATTTCAGAATCTGATTTTTTTTATTCTTTTTTTTTTTTTTTAAGTTTTTCGACATGAAAGGAGGAAGTTCTAAAGCTGATTCGAGGAAAGCCGACAGCAGGTGAGTGATGTTACCTTGTCGAGCCTTTTGCGCTGTTATTTTTCAGTTCATTTCTCTTTCCATCTCGCACTATGTGTGTGTGTGTGTGTGTGTGTGTGTGTGTGTGTGTGCAATTTCTGTCTATTTCCTTTCAGTAGAGTATGAATCTCGTGGCTCAAAATGTAAGGTGCTCTAATTTTTATTTTTTTTTTTCATTTTCATTTTGTGCTGCTTCATTTTCTTCGAGTATTTTGGTGAACTCGTTTGACATGGTTTCTACTGGATTGGGATGTTTAAGGCTCTGAATTACGCATCCACTAATAGATCGCGGTTTTGATAATTGTATGTTGTTTTGTTATTGTTCACCTTTTTTTCCCCTTAAAAAGCCCAATGAGCTTGAGTTTATTTTCCTGGTAGATCTGAGAATCAGTTAATCACATTACTATGAATCAGATTCATAGATTCCTGAGTTTTTTATATTTCATTTGGCATTTGCTTATGTAGATCTGGTTGTTTGCAATTTTATGTTATTCTATGTTGAGCTTTTTCTTATTTAACAAATTTATTGTTGTACGCGCATAACTTGTCAAAGATTTTTTACGCTTGAACGACATTATATTGGCCACGTAAATGATTTTGAGTCCGTTCATTCAGACTTTAAGTGTATTTGTACCGACAAGTGAGAATAACTGTTTTGATACAAAGTTATTACTTACTTTTTTATTTAAAGAATGGACCACACTGTTATTTTTTTTCATGTTTCATTCAAATTCTTACTCTTGTTTGGTGGATTTTCTGAAATTAGGCTTGCTGTTAAGAAGCAGACAAAGAAAGAGAAGCAAGCAGCAAAGGATCCAAACAAACCCAAGAGGGCTCCAAGTGCTTTCTTTGTTTTCATGTATGTAATTTGCCCTGTTGTCTATCGACTTCGGAATGTTTTTGTTGTCACAATTTTCTTATTAATTGTTCAAGAACATGTTCTGTAATTTGCATGCATTTTTAGTATGCTCCATGATCATATTCATGTTGCAGGGAAACCTTTAGGCAGCAATACAAGGAAAAGCACCCTAAAAACAAATCAGTTTCTGCTGTGGGTTTCACTCTCTTTTAATATTCGTACTCTTGAATCAGCCTACTCCTGTTTATAGTGCTTTACGATTTTAATGGGGGAAAATGTAGGTTGGCAAAGCTGCTGGTGAAAAGTGGAAGTCTATGAGTGATGAGGTAACTGTATCTAGTTATCCAGACATTGGTGCTGAAATGTTACTCATTTTTGTTGTGACGAATTTGTTCATCTGGAACATCTGACCAAAATGTGTAAAACATGTCAACTATTAGGAAAAAGCACCCTTTGTAGCAAAGGCAGAGAAAAGGAAGAAGGAATATGAGCGGCAGATGGAAGCTTACAACAGAAAACTGGTAACTAAGTATTTTTTCCTTAGTCCTTTCATTTGTCACCGGCTTTACTTTTCCCTCATTGAATCACATATATATCTGTAACTTGCTGAATTGTCCTTTTTCACATTGTAATAGTCTGGAGAAGGTGGTGATGATGATGATGATGCATCAGACAAATCGAAGTCGGAGGTTGATGACGAGGATGATGAGGAAGGCAGTGAGGAGGTCGGTTGTGCATTTTGAAACTGAGTGTTATTATCGATGAACTGTAGTTACATACGATGTTGAAAAATGTTTTGTCTGTTCAATTTGGTGCAGGAGGAATAAGATGATGACTAGGAGAACACCAAGTGCAAGTCCTCGAACAAAGAATCTATTGTACAACTCTAGTGTTGATTTATCGACTTTTGACTGTTGGTGTATCAGTGTATGTTCTGGACATGGAAATGACCCTACTTTGTTTTCATGCTTGAATTAGTAGTTTATAGTCCGGACAACTTTGTTGCTGCTCTACAGCTTCTTAGACCATGGAAGTTGATGTGGTGTTGAATGACAATGCTCTAGTGTTTCATATTATTTTTCAGTTCATTTCTCTGTTATTTTGTTTTATTTCCCTGTTTTTATCACCATAAATCTATTTATGGTAGTCCAAAGATGGAGCTCGACCGAAGTTTCCAGTTAGGAATTATACCAGTTTTTTCCCTTCAGCTTTTGCCAATAAACACGACTTTGTTGAGGTTTGAAATTTTACTCTGGCCTTACAAACGCAACACTGCCAAGCTATATAACACAAAAATGAAGAAATTACTTCATTTGGGATATTGTATAGGTATATTTTTCTAAGCTCATTTCTTCTGTTCAATCAAGCAAGGTCTCGAAGTTGGGTCCACGCTAAAAGTCACAAACCACTTGATATGGTCAATCAACAAGATGGGCCGATTCAAACTTTTTGTTCAATTGGAACCAACCCAGCATTAACTGTAGGC